CTCTCAAATTGGCCTTCTCAGCCACACTAAACGCTGTTCCAAGTCTTCCATACAGAGCACGTTACCATAGTCTCTCAAAACTGAAGGATGCCTAATCGAATCGAAAACTTGAGTCCTAGTATCTCAAATTGTGGTACAGAAGCACAGCATCTCATATTTGTAAACTGGAGGGTTTTTTTAAAGAATTGAATAATTTTCCTTCTTTTCAAGTCCTGGTATCTCAAATTGTGGTACAGAAGCACAGTATCTCATATTTGTAAACTGTAGGTTTTTTTTTAAAGAATTGAATAGTTTTCCTTTTTGAAAACTGAAGATGACTACCTCTAGTAATCATGCTTTGTTTTATGGAATTTCTAATTTTCCTTCTTTTTGAAAACTGAAGTAATCATGCTTTGTTTTATGGAATTTCTATGCTTCATGCCTTGGAGAAGTTCACTAGGAGACAGTTTGCTGGAGCATGTGCTCATCACCAAGTAACCAAAGAGCGTAGGAGCCTAAGTGTATTGCTTCATTATTTAGCACCTTCTAGCAGAAATGATGTATAGAATAATGGAGTCGAAAGAGCCTATAAGACGACTGAGTCCAACCCCAGTTAGTATGACTTTGCCTAACAGAAAGAATTACGATGAACAGTGCCATGTACGATAAACTGTAAGTCAATTTAGTGGTTCATCAAGATTCCTAAATTTTAAGAAAATGCTGAGCTTTGAGGTACTAAATAGAAAGAAGCTAGAATCCAGAAATGGATGCTGACCAGTAGGTCAGCTAAATGCATATACTGTCGTCAGCCTCTCCCTATATACAGTGGACCCTCGACTTACAGACGGCTCGACTTACAGACTTTTCGAGTTACAGACTTCTCTGGCTGCAAAATTTAGATTCGACTTGCAGCCAGAGAATCGACTTACAGACCAGAAAAAAACCAAAATGGAATAAAAATAGAATAAAAAATCAGCCTCTCCCTATATATTTGGTGTATGGTATCAGCCCTATATCATCTAGTTTTGGTTTAGTGTCTTGCTATGTCGACTTACAGACGGCTCGACTTACAGACTTTTCGAGTTACAGACTTCTCTGGCTGCAAAATTTAGATTCGACTTGCAGCCAGAGAATCGACTTACAGACCAGAAAAAAACCAAAATGGAATAAAAATAGAATAAAAACCACTGGTTATGGGATTAATCGGTTTTCAGTGCATTGTAGGTCAATGGAGATTCGACTTACAGACTTTTCGACTTGCAGCCACCATTCCAATACGGATTAATTCCTTAAGTAGAGGGTCCACTGTATTTGGTGTATGGTATCAGCCCTATATATTTGGTGCATGGTAAAGGGCACCTCTTCCATCTAGTTTTGGTTTAGTGTCTTGCTATGTAAGTTGCTTTTTAAACTGTGTTCCTGATGCAAGAACACCTTTTTAACTGTGTCCCTGCTTGTAACCAAATGCTTAAATACTTTCTGGCATGTTTCCAAGCAGGAAGTCATCCAGGAAGTGTTTCACCCTGTTCAGGCAACAAAACACCCAGCTGCACATATATGTAAATGTGATTTGAAAAGATTGCCATATCAGAACACATTTGACTAGAAATTTACAAGTTTTGATTTGGGCCACATAACTTCTGTGTTGTCTTGGGCTTCCCTGAGCATGTCCAAAATCTGGAGGCATATAAAAAATATACAGTATACATTTGCTTATTTGTTTGCAGAGTTCATGGATATATTTCCTTTGGGAAAAGATATCGAAGCTCTGTGTAGTCCTCATAAGTAATGAGACAATAAAGAGTAAATCTCATTAAAAACCTTCTGGAAGCTGTTCGAAGGTGCCACATCCCTTGACTTCTGTACTGTATTACAGGGAAAGAGTAACATTCCTTCTGTAGAGCTCCTCTTTCCAGCTTGCTGTTGCACAAGTTCAAGATGCCCGTTGTTTTCATTAAGATTTATATTCAGATCCCTCTGGACAGGGGACAGATTGTATTTGTCTTCAGTGTGGAAGGGAAGGGTGCCTACACATATTCAGATAAAAAGATGCTAGATCCAGGTGGTGGAATGGATAGACTAGGACTCAGGAGGTCTAGATTCAAATCACCATTGGGCTAAGGAAACTCACTGGGGAGGGAAGTGGCATCAGTAAAAACCTCTCCTTAAGTATCTCACATACCTTGAAAACCGTGTTAGGGTTGTCATAAGTTGGATGTGACTTGACCAGCCATGAGAACAAGGTACAGTTTCTGGATGCATCTTTGCATTCCTTCTGGGAATCCCTCACTGCTTGCTTAGAGGAACATTGCTTATATGGACCAGGACACCAAGATACAGTGGTGCCTTGCTTAACGATTACCTCGTTAAACAATAAAATTGCTTTATGACGAAATTTTTGCGATCACAAAACGATGTTCCTATGGGAAAAATTCGCTTAACAGTGATTGGTCTCCTGCTTCAGGAACTGATTTTTCACTAGATAACGATTTTAAAACAGCTGATTAGTGGCTCTAAAATGGCTGTCCACTTTGCAAATTGGCTCCCTGCTGTGCTTCCCTTTAAAAGCACCGGAAAATTGCCGCCCTTTGGAGGTGTCCACTTTGCAAAATGGCTCCCTGCTGTGCTTCCCTTTACAAGCACCGGAAAATTGCCGCCCTTTGGAGGATCTTCGCAAAACGAGCAGGTATTTTGCCCATTGGACCGCATTGAACCGGTTTTCAATGCATTTCAGTGGTTTTTTAAAAGTTCACTTGACGAGGATTTCGCTTAACAGCGATTTGAACGGAACGAATTATCCTCATCAAGCGAGGCACCACTGTACTGGTTACCGTGTGTTTTCAAAATGGCCAGACATGTAGTGCATTCCTTTTTGTTCCATTGTGGTGTGGGATATGAGTAGGTCCGTAAAGTCTATTCTAAAGAATCTATTTTATTTCTTTACTGCTTTACCCACATGGCTCTTTCAGTAATCTGTAATGAAATATAAAATGTTTATTTGCATGTTTAATTATGGTGATAGTGAAAATGTGTCAGAGTGGTTCACTCTTTCAGTAAAGGAGACTTTAAAAATTGAAATATTTTTAAACAGTGCATTTAATTACTTTGTATGTCCTTAAATTAAAGTCAATTAGGTGATCAGTTTAGATTAGACAGAATAAAATTCAAAATAAAAATCTGTCTGTCTAGAAAGGAGTTAGGAATGTTTAATTCTTGATTTAATAAGAAGTACTGAACGACCTTGTGAGAGTAGTGAGGGCAGAAGCCCACAAGAAAACGTAAGGAGGTTCTAGAGATCTGTTTTCACTCTCTATGTAACAGAAGCTTTTTTTTCTAGTAGTGCTTTACTTACAGTACTAGAAAAAGAGTGGTGTGCAGTTCAAAAGCTTGCTACATTATCACTGGAATAAAAGAGGTCATCAGAATTATTTTGCACTTGGCAATGCTTTCACTTTTATTTTTCTAACTTGGTTTAGGTCTCAGACAGATTTCTCAGAACAAAGTAGCTGTTCTTCTCCTAGCTGGTGGACAGGGAACAAGGCTTGGTGTCTCATATCCCAAAGGAATGTATGATGTGGGCCTGCCATCCAGTAAAACGCTCTTTCAGATCCAAGCAGAGCGTATCCTGAAACTACAGCAGCTGGCTGAAAAACAATATGGCCTCAAATGTGTTATTCCATGGTAAGCATCTTGGAGACTCATCTAATTAGTGCCATCCTGTAATTGGTGTAAGGTTATCTCATAGTAGCCTTAGTTTCATTGGCTCAAAGTTTTGCTAGCAGCACAAGTATCCAGATTCCACAGGGCTTCAGAAAATTACTTTGGCCCAGAATTCGCTTGCTTAAAAAATGGTGATGTTTGCTTTTTGTTTAGGAATTTGTTCTCATAATCTTTATATTTGCAAGTATGTGCTTGAAAGCATGCAGAAAATGCCTGCTGTGGTTGGAAAGTTGAATGAACAAGATATCTGATGGTTGGAGGGCTAGGCTTCATTGCCTCTTTTCAATACCAATTGAAATGCTGAACACTACTACTGCCCCTCAAAATACAAAAATGTTTAAGGTGTAAAATAAATCAAAGACTATAAATTTACTCCAGTTTGCATGATTTATATAGAAAACAGAATTTGGATTGCCGGGGTGGAGAATTGTTTCTAATACACAACACTTACCTAGTCACTCTTAGAAACTGTTTAGCTTGACTGGCTGGCTGATTTAGTTATGGTTGGTAGAGGCAAACAAGAGGATAAATAGTGTTCTGTTCTCCAGCATGAGGCACAGGCATATAGAGAACTGTGCCTCAAGTGAGGGAAGAATTCTGAACATTCAAAATTATTTGGAGAGAGGCAAGGACAAAATCATACAGAGCTGAGGTACTGTAGCTGTGTCTGCATGTGGCTAACCTGGGCTCATAGGAGGACATTTTTTTAAAGTACATGGTTAGTTGTAGTGAAATGTATGTATTAGCACTGACTACAGTACTTTTATGCCCGTGTGCATTTAGTGAGGGATAACGTGCTGCTGGCTTGAGTTTGAGATCCTTAAATTTAACTTTATTGTTTTGAACATAGATCAGCCATGTTGAATATACAAGAATAAAACCCAGTGACAGAACATATAGTATTTACAATCAAAGCAAAGCAAACTGAAATTCAGATTACAAATGAGTTCTAATTCCTAATCTAGTTACTGCAATTAGTTTGTTATCTGTTTCCCTATTGTACCAGGTGCTGCACGGATTTTTGTGACCTTGGGTGTAATTTCACTTACAGCATCAGAGGGGAGGCGAGAAATATAAAATTTGTCAAGGCTACCCGAATAATGTTTTTAAAAAGGGGAAATGAGTAGATTGTGGGAATCCTTGTAAAACATGCAGCACAACAGGGCATGTTCCATAATTTCCACCATGGCAGATTGGCAGGAGCAAAAATGTTGGTCATAAAGGATGCATTAATTTCTTATTTCTGAAAAGGCAGATAGCAGAACATTGAAATAGCCAGGTTAAAAGCTCTGCAATGTCTAGTAAGTTTTAAATGATAATGACAATCTGCTGGGGTAGGTACCTTGCTGTGATTCCCAACCACTGAGTAATCGGGAACATGTCAAGTGCCCCAGATCCATTTCCTAATCTCTTTAGCTTTCAGAGGTCCCAGATGTAGCAGAGCTGTAGGGCAGTGGTCCCCAACCTTGGGCCTCCAGATGTTCTTGGACTTCGACTCCCAGAAATCCTGGCCAGCAGAGGTGGTGGTGAAGGCTTCTGGGAGTTGCAGTCCAAGAACATCTGGAGGCCCAAGGTTGGGGAACACTGCTGTAGGGGATAACCCACAGGACAACAGCTTTCCCTCCACTGCTCTCACCCAGCCTAAGGGGTTGGTTTTCTGTTAAAATCAGAAGTGCTATTCAAAAAGGGATAATTTTTTTTTACTTCAGCCAAAAATTTGAAGCCAAGCACTTGCTTTGTCCGTGGCCATTCCAGCTTTTATTCTGCTTTAGGGGATAGAGACTTGAAGGTCAAAAGCAGACTAATTGCCCGATTCATTTGCATGTTAACTCTTTTTATCCTTGAAACATCAGATGAGATCTCTTTTATGTTTATTTATATGTATATAACTATATATAGACAATGTGCATATGCACGCATGCTTCTAGGGTGGTAAACCTGCCTGAATATGTTTGCTGGCATTGTTGAATCAAGCCAATGATGGCTGATTGAATTTTCTTACTGTTACTTGTATACTAAATGGTTTCATTTCTTGATGCTAATGGGAAATGAGATGCTGACCATCTCTTATTCTGAAGTCTTGGACTTCATGTCTTGTGGAGTTCTTGGCCATCAAGCTTGTTTGCATCCTCTTCCTTCTCATACTCCCCTGTGTATGAGACATTGGAATGGAAGTGTATGTTACGACCTTTGGGGGAACAAGGTTGTTGTATACCATATTTTTCCGTGTATGAGATGCCACCCCACTTTTCTAACCCAAAATTTCTTTCTTTGCAAGAAAGTGGAGGGGGAATGCAGGGATCAAAGCACTTTGATTCCTGCTTTCCCCCTCCACTTTCTTTGCAAAAAGCTCCTTTCCCACTCTGCTTTTTGCAAAAAAAGGGGAGGGGAAAAGCTTTCTTGCAGGGAAAGTGCTTTCACCCTTCACCTTCTTTGCAAAAAGCTGCTTTCCCCCTGGCAAAAAGTGGAGCCACTTTCTTTGCAAAAAGCTGCTTTTCCCCTCCACTTTTTGCAAGGGGGAAAGCAGCTTTTTGCAAAGAAAGTGGAGGGGGAAAGCCATTTCCTCACAAGAAAAGGGAGGGAAAAGAAGGAATCACTTTCTCCCTCCACTTTCTTGTGAGGAAAGTGCTTTCCCCCTCCACTTTCTTTGCAAAAAGTGGAGGGGGAAAGCAGGAATCAAAGCGCTTTGATCCCTCCCCCCTCCTTACTACCGTGTATAAAACAACCCTCAATTTTTCCTCCAATTATTTTAGGGGAAAGTGTCATTTTATACATGGAAAAATACGGTATGTCTAGCAGTAAAAAAAGGGTCATGTTCCATATAGATTTGTTTCCTTTCTTAGTAAACCAGGATTCTCCTATTATATTGCACAGGTATATCATGACAAGTGGAAGGACCATGGAATTGACTAAGGAATTCTTCCTGAAGCACAAATACTTTGGCTTGAAGAAAGAGAATGTGGTCTTTTTTCAGCAGGGAATGCTTCCTGCTATGGACTTTAATGGGAAAATTCTCTTGGAAGAAAAGGGCAAAGTTTCTATGGCACCAGGTACTGTATCCACACAGGCACTTGGGGAAGACTTTATGACCATATCGCCAGAACAGATTGTCATTTAAAAGTTCATTTGTGCTAGTCACCCAAATTCTGAAGGTATAAACATGTAGGAAGATGATTTCTCTGAACATATTTGAACATGGGGGAAAGTATCTTTGCTATGGTAAGTAGAGATTCCACCCTGAGAACACAGGGGAGTATGAGAAGGAGAAGGATGCAAACAAGCTTGATTTTGTTCATTGGGATCACTCTGCATGAGATAGGGGGGGAAAAAGATTTTTCCAGAGTGAGGCACCTTGCTACTGAAAGTGGAATCAAATAGCAGAAGGAAACCCATGTAGTCTGACTAAATGCAAATTTCCCACAGTGAATAAATTTCCTTAAAGTACTTATCACTTTAAATATTGACCAGGTTTCAGTAAATACAGAATCCATTCATTGAAAACAAATAGATCCACCAGGAAGCTGAAAGGTCTTTCGAGGAAGTGTTCAGTTCATTTGGTCCATTTCTGTTACATGTAAGACTTCAATAAAGGCTTTAAGACTCGCATATTCCTTTGCAGCAACGTTTTCTTTCGTAGTGGTTTCATTTCTTTCGTCAAAGCTTAGGATCAAAGCCCTGTCTGTAGAGGACCTAAAGCAATGCCACTTCATTAAAACCTTATTGTCACATACTTACTATTCCAGTCAAAACAGACTTCCTGGGAGAGAAAACTCTCACCTGGCAGCAATTTATACCCACTCTCAAATGCCATCAAAATAACTCGTTGTATTTTGTTCTATATGTTACCACAAAGACAGGTGAGAAAGCAGTATCCAAAGATCTCCTACAACAGGAATTGTCATAGATATTCAGATTTAAAAAAATCTTTATTTCAAATGGTAGGAATGACAATATTGATAACACATATTGTTTGTGATTTTAGTTTATGGAGTGCTCAGTCGTGTCTGTAATTTCTTGTACCATATTTGTACAATCGTTCTGAATTTTATTACCTGATTACAGTACTGTGTTTCTCTTGTTTTGGGTGGCTAGTAAAATTGGAGTGTCATAAGGTAATAGGTAAGTTCGAAAGCATGGAGGTGCCACCTTGGTGGGAAGGGAATGGTATTCTGTATCTACTCATGCTGGCCATATGACCATGGAAAGTGTCTACGGACAAGTGCCGACTCTTTGGTTTACAAAGGGGGATGAGCACCGGGGCTGGACCTAGAGATGGACCCAACTGGACTCAATTGTCAAGGGGAATCTTTATGTTTTTAAGGTACCTTAGAAAAAAAGGAATATCTTTTTTTTAAAAAGTAGTGGAATGGTTCCATACTATCATTTTGTCAATCTGCAGCTAATTCTGGATAACACCAATAATTAGAATAAATGTGACCACTGTAACAATGTGTTTTCTAATGTATATCTTTACAATTGTGTGACTTGTCTCTGTCTCTCTCTCTGGCTGAAAAGCTTCAGTTTTGTGCTGAACCTATTTTCCCAAGTTTTGTTGTTTCTCCAGATGTTTGAGTAGTCTTTTTCCATCTGTTCGTTTAGTCATCTTAATTATACTGTTACTTCTGAACTCCCTTTCAAGAGCATAGTTGGCTTTCTCCTGTACTTGTTTGAGAGTACATTTTTAAAAGGAATAAATTGAATTAAGGCTCTCATTTTGCTGATATTTTGTTGTCTGTCTTGATAACACTCAATTTTTATTAATAATATGCATGTTAACTCAATCTTGTATAGAGCAGTGAAGAAAAATGGACTGAAATACCTGTACAATTGAAAGTTACATGACCCTTTCAAATGCTTCCTCTTCTCACCCATTCCTTCAGATGGCAACGGTGGTCTATATCGGGCTTTGGGAGCTCATCATATTCTGGAGGACATGGAGCGACGTGGCATTGGCAGCATTCATGTCTACTGTGTAGACAATATTTTAGTAAAAGTTGCTGACCCTCGGTTCATTGGGTTCTGTGTACAGAAGGGAGCAGACTGTGGAGCAAAGGTAACTAATCTTTATACAGACTGCAGAGGGTGAGCTGTAGTGTCCTATCCTCTTGAGGGTGTTGATTGTGTTCAAGAAGCTGAATGTACACAGGCTGGACGGTCATGTATAGAAAAGGAAGATGCTCTTAGTGCAAGTGAGCAGCAGATTTAAAAAATGAGCACTGTCAGCGTAACTGTTGCTGTAGGAATATGTAGACTTTTAAATCATATGTATCTCAGTAAAACAGAATGAAAAGGGGTGCACCTACAGGTAGAGGAAAATTCATCAAAGAGATCTTAATAATTTGAGTCTCCTGTGAGGGAACTGGATTAGTTAGAGTTGGGAAGGATTAGTGCTTTAATGACAGTGTCTGTTGATGATAATGTCTATTCAAGAAATAGCCATCAAGCTCTTTTGCATCCATATCACCTGCCTGTACTGTAAAAGCCTAACAAATTGATATAGTTCCTTTGTTCTGACATGACACTTTGATGCAAAGAAACAGAAAGAGCCAGACAGAGCCATGGTGTTTGCAGGGCTGGTACAAGGCAATAGTGCAAGGTCCAACTCTCCTCCCCCTCCATCCCCACCTCCAGGCCAAGGGAGCTGCTGATTGCCCTACTGAGGTGCAGTTGCCCGTCTGCAGCAGCATTCAGTCCTGCATAAATTTACTGGAGGGACATTCTGCTCCAATGGATTTATGCTCTACGGCCCAATTTCATTTCTGTTGTGTAAATACTCATTTAATCAAATAGTTCTATAAAATACTATTGCATTTGATTGCCATTGGAGACCACCGTTTACATTTCTCTTTCTTTGAGCCCATATTGGGGAACGGAAGCTTGAGACTTAATGTATCTGATAAAGAGACTTTGTCCTGTAATTGTGGTGTATGTACAGTATATATCACTGCTATATAATGAGCATGTTAAGTCTTCAAAATGCTGCAGAATTTTTTTGTTCATTCTCTTAGGTAGTTGAGAAGACGAACCCCACAGAGCCAGTTGGTGTTGTGTGCCGCGTCAATGGTGTTTACAAGGTAGTGGAATACAGTGAGATCTCTCTGGCGACAGCACAGAAAAGGAGTCATGATGGCCGCCTGCTTTTTAATGCTGGGAACATTGCCAACCACTACTTCACGTTGGAGTTTCTGAAAGATGTGGTCAAGTATGGGCATTCTTTAGCCTTGAATGTTTAACAGAATACATGTCCAGTGGCATTTCTGATCCTTCTGTTGCATGCCAACCCCTTTTGTATTGACAACGCCTGTAGACTGGCTTATAGTTTCAGGCAGGCACATGTCGAGAACTAAATAAGAACTGAATTTTTGACAATTCAGTACCATTTTTAAAAACAGCAGTAACAGCAACACAGCATTAAAATGCAACTAAAAATAGATGTAAATCGAAGCAAATTTGGGAGCATTAAGTTCTCCTGCTATCCTTTATGGTCCCTGTCTGTTGTTCCTCCATCTCCCTTGGGTCAGGACTTAAGAGTACAGGGCTAGTTCACAGGTGCCGAAGAACAGGTTGATCTTTTGCTGAAGTTTAACACCTTGAGATGTTGTGGTGGGAAAAGTCATATTTGAGTGCTCTTCTTACGCATGAGGAAGACCTGACTCTTTCCAAATAGAAAAGTAGCATGTTAAGGAGACAGATTTACCTTTCTTTAATCTCTTTCAGAGTATGCCCGTTTTCTGTGTCCAGCAAGAACTTCCCCTCCTGCAGAGGGGAAATTAGAATATTAGATGATACAGTCCAGCAAAAGCTTTGCTACTTAAGTCTGCTGATTAGATGTAATGGCTAGAGATGGGCACAAATTAAGTCTTCCCTATTGAGGCCAAGTTGTTGACGAGCCGGCACAGCTGTTATGTGGGCCTGGCACCCATTCCTTGGGCCATGCGCACTTCCCTTTCCACCTCCCCAGCACAATGACCCACTCACCATTTGTGCATCCTCTTCCTCCTTCTGCCTTCTCCCTCAGACAACCACTGAGGTGAGGAGGCAAGGCAGGGATGCTGAAGATTCAGTGGCATTTGCCTACAAAAACAGCAGTTTTGTTCTTGGTAGCCTTGTGATGGTCTCACCATAGAGCTTTAAATTCCAGACTTGGATTTGCTTCAGGGCTGCCAAAACAATAAACCTGCATACATTTATTTTGGGTTCTATTGGCGTTATCTGCTACTTACACACTTTCTGAAAAGGGAGAAGACAGTCTTTGGCATATGGAATCAGAATTGTTTAGGTAAAAAGGCCTGACTTGAAGTCTGCTAAAAAAAATCTAGAGCCAGCTCAGACCCTGTCATGTGCAACATACTTGCACTGAGATCTGCACCTTGAAGTGGTAGTGGTGGTGCTGGTTTGAATGTGGCAGTGACTCTGACCTGCAGGTCATCTGCAGGTTATGGCATTTTCACCCTTTGTGGTCAAAGAGTCAAAAACATATTCTATACATAGATGTTTTGGCAGGATGTCAAAAGCCTACTAACTCAAACCCTAAAAATTGCTTTGATGTACAATTGCCCATCTAGATCAGTATCTGTTCCAGCCAATCATATCCTTCACAATCATGGTGTGAAAGTCGTGGCCTTCCACCATCCCCCCCCCCCCCGNTTCACTCAGCTAATGGTCCTAGATAGACTCCAGTGTGCTTCACACTCTGCTGACTTGTACTTTCACATTTTAGTGTTCATGAACCTCAGCTGCAACATCATGTAGCCCAAAAGAAGATTCCTTATATTGATGTGGCCACTGGGAAGTCTGTGAAGCCAGACAAACCAAATGGGATTAAAATGGAGAAGTTTGTATTTGACATCTTCCAGTTTGCCAAGTAAGGCCTTTCATTCTCCTGACTGCTTGCTTGCTCTGACTCTGACTCTGACAGTCTTGTGTTGTTAGATGAATTGTGGTGTAACATCTTCAGCTTTCTTTTTGTTTTAAAAGTAATTTTATTCACCTTAGCATTTCATGTCTTACAACTTCATCCCAAAGAGAACTCAGGTGGTATCAATAAAAATCAAGAATTCTGAAATAGCAAACTATGTTTAATTCAAACATAAATCACGAGTGTCTTGATTCTTACTGTTGTACAGTACACAAGGTATGCTCATATACCTTGTGGGATAGATAGGAAGAGACCTGGGATGTACAGTACAGTGGTGCCCCACATAGCGAGGTTAATCCGTTCCGGATCAACCTTCGCTATGTGAAAACTTCGCTAAACAGAACGGGGAAGCCCAAATGGGCACAAAACTCACCGTTTAGCGAAGTTTCCAGGGTCCGGCAGCCATTTTCGTGCCCTCGGTAAGCGAGGGGAGGGCGCAAAAACGCTGTGCGCGGCCATTTTGGGCATCCAGCGGCCATTTTGAAACCGCCAAACAGCTGATCTGCGGGTGTCATAAAGCGAAGATCGGTAAGCGAAATGCTTACCGATCTTTGCTATGCGAGTTTTGCCCATTGGGGCTGACGCTATGCCTCCGCATTAGCGATCCCGAAAATGGGATCGCTATGTGGATTCGTCGTTATACGGTGCGCTCGTTAAGCGAGGCACCACTGTACTGGGAAGTTGAGCTGGCTAGAAATTCCAGGTGAGGCCAGTAGAGGGAGGCATAAATAATCTCATAAATCAGAGATTAGAAAGAAGCATCTTCCATGAGGTCATGAGAACAGTTTGGGAGGTGATGGATTATATGATTCACATGGTGTATTATAAGAATGAAAGAGCTTGAAGTTGTAGAGGACAGGAAGAAGTGGCAAAACCACCTTAAACTCCCAAATGCAGGAAAATATCAGCTGGCTCCATCAGTAATAATGAAGTTGGTGAGCAGTACTTCTGTAAAGGCTTTGTAGCCAATTCAAGGAGGGATTTGGATGAGTTGAGGTGAGTTTTCTTTACCTCATATAATTTCCTTCTACTGTGAACTTATTTTCAAAGTTTAGGTCTAGAGCTGCAAATCCAAATGGCTTTTTTAACCTCTAGGAAGTTTTGAATCTTTTTGAATATTGGTGGCTTCCTTGTAAATAATAGAAATGTTCACAGAGCATAAAGGCCTTTACATCTGACCTGTCTCTCCTTTATATACCTCTAGGAATTTTGTGGTTTACGAAGTGGTGCGGGAAGATGAGTTCTCTCCTTTGAAGAATGCAGACAGCCAGAATGGCAAGGACAACCCCACCACTGCACGCCATTCCCTGATGTCGCTACATCACTGTTGGGTTCTCAATGCTGGAGGTCATTTTGTGGATGAAAATGGGACACGCCTTCCTGCCATTCCCCGGTAAGGTGACTCTGATTTTCCTCTTGCTTCTATCTTGCATCCCTTGTTTGTAGTCTGAGTATTCCCCATTAAGGTAGTTGTTGTCAGTTTGGGAGAAGTTATTAAAACACTATTGCTCAGTATTCCAGCTGCTAAGATTTCCCAGTTGTATTCTGCAGCAGAATTATTAGCTATTTAATATCTTCCTTTTGTCTTAATTTGTGTAGCCGAGAAAATCACACTGTGTGAAACAATGATCACGATTCAAGCCTGCATTCATGCAAGCTCACAGTCCCAGCTATGAAATACTGTGACTAACTAGAATGAGTAATGTCCTTCGGAAAGACACTTTGGTCCCTCTGCTCTGCATCTGGGACTCTGAGCTTAGCCATGAGTTCACATCCTGTTAGTGGGGAAGGCAGAGGCTTTTTGGGATGAAAGGAAATGCAGACACAGCAAGTGTGACCGTTGACTTGAATAGGAAGATGAATAGAATATGAAGGGAAATGAGAAGATGGGGAAGCAGAGGGAGAGTGAATAAGACTGGCCCCATCACTTTGACTATGGCTCTCCCTGTATTTGGATTTGGTCCTTCTTGCCACTGGTATACAGCAGCACCGTTCCTAACGATTTCCTGTAAACATTGCAATGCATGATCTAAATTATAGTCTTGAGCTAAATTATGGGCTGGGAATAAGTGGGATAACTGCACTGTAGTAGTAGAGAACTTGAGAGGGCTCCTTGCGTTATATGGTCTATCGGTTTCTTATAAAAGCTGCCCAAGTACAGTACTTGATTATGGAACTAACCTAATCTGTCTTCTGGACTGTGTTATATGGTCTATCGGTTTGTTATAAAAGCTGCCCAAGTACTTGATTGTGGAACTAACCTAATCTGTCTTCTGGACTGTTTTCACATTTGGAGATGAGGAGAATTAGAATTCATTCATTGGTGTGAAGTGTGGGAGCATGTTTTGTTGTTCAAACACTTGTTCAAATTTCAGCATTGTGTTCACGTGATGAAGAAATTGTCTGAGAGTCCTTTTCTATAAAGATTGGTTGCTCTGAAAAATGACAAAGGTATACATTCATCTTGCATTGGAATTTGGCACAGAAGTCAAGCAAGTTCATCATAGTATAGGTGTACATTACAGAATTTCTCTTCTCATAAACCTTTTTATTCTCATGTGACAGCTGCACTGACGGAAGGTCAGATGGAATCCAAGCTGATGTCAATCACAAGTAAATATATTTGGCTGTGTGGGATGCATGGTGATGGGTCTGTGCTTGGGTACTGACTGACTGAGCTTTCTGTAGCTTGCAGGTTCTCAGGGCTCGACCTGCTTTTCGGGGTGTGGATGTGCTGTGATACAGTGACCTTGTGGGAGCTGTCACGGTCACCAAAGTGCATGCTGGGGAAGGGACTGCATGTGTGGCTATAAATTCTCATAGTATGTCTTCAGGACTTAATGAGAGCTGCCTTGTGCACCTATTTGTGCTGCTCTACATTTTTGTCAAAGTTAGAATCTGTATTTCACTTTTCCAGAAAGTGTGTCTATTCTCTGGAAGCTTTGAAAGCACAGCAACACAGTTTGGTTACTGCTTTTATTCTTATAATTCAGCATTTCCTGTAAACTATAATCCCCAGTGAGTTTAGCCTTCCTGTTTCCCATTACATTTCTTTTGCAAGATCCCAGGGCTCAAATATTTTAAAAGTGTGGGAGTAAGGAGAGGCACTGTTTAGGGGAAGAAAATCCTACATAAAATGTTCAGATGACAACTGAAAACAAAATAGTAAGAGATGAAGCTATTGAAGAGCTGGTATTTCCATGCAATTGGAAACAAATATTTTTGAAGTTTGGTTTAACATTAATTGCCAGTTGATGTGAGCGTGCCATCTATGATGTCCAGAGCACATCTAATATGATGTGAATTCTAGTGTGAGGAGGTATCTGAGCCAGGACAACAGTGCATCAGAAACAGTGTCCTTTCTGTGTATAGCTGTTTTGTGAACAAATGTATGAATTGTGCAAATTTAGATGCTGTTCATATGTTGAAGGGACTCTGTATTTAAATTTTCTCAATGTGGTATTGAGAACTATCAGTCACTTCCCATACAAGAATGCACAGATAATGTCTGCTTGAGAACTGCTGGTGAAACACAAGGTTTCTTGACATATGAATTCTGCCTTTTAGGAAGTTTCCTTTTAAGTTCTTGATTCTGTCAGAAGGATAATAAAGCACATTGTTTATCCCATTAAGGTTTGTATGAGTAAGCAAGCATCTGTGGTATCTATCAGTGGCTTGGCTTAATAGCTAGATTCTGTTTATCCTTGTTACCAGTTTTCCCGCCCCACTAAAGTTCTCTGGGCCTGTTAAAGAAAACATAGGCAAGAAACACTCTTACAGGTTTTTCAGATTTCTCAGAAATTTGACAAAAGTGAATGAAATCTCATTTCTCTTATGTATGCAAGAATGAATGAGTCTGTTCTGACCCATATTGTAGCTGAGATGATAGGAATCTCCTCTGCTATTCAAAGTGTTCTTAAAGCTCTGGACAATAAATAGAAATCAGTAGGAATACACCTCTCGCCTTTTAAGTTCTGTAAGTCGAATCTAAATTCTGCGGCCAGAGAAGTCTGTAACTCGAAAAGTCTGTAAGTCGAGGGTCCACTGTAAATAGAAATCAGTAGGAATACACCTCTCCTCTATTTAGCCCTGGGTGCCTGTTCAGCTTAAAAGAGAGGACTGGGGCACTTGGACTGAAAAACTCCTTTCTGCTGGGTAGCAATAAATCCATGTACCTAAGATATTCCACCTAAATCTCAGGAAGAACTTCCTGACAGTCAGAATGGGTCGGCAGTGGAATATGCTGCCTCGGAGTGCAGTGGAGCCTCTTTCTTTGGAAGTTTTTGAGCAGAGGCTGGATGGCCATCTGTCGGGAGTGCTTTGATGGAGTTCCTGCATGGGAGGGGGTTGGACCCGATGGCCCCTGTGGTCTCTTCCAAATCTGTGATTCTAAAACGTGTACCTCTGGCAAGAAGAATTTCTAACAAGTAGAAATGGTTTACCAGCCAAACAGATGTGTGCTGGTTCCCAGCCTCCCCTCCTCCAGAAGGGGACCACTCAGAGGCAGTGCCCCAGCTTCCCTGCCTCACTTTGCTGGATGCTGCCTCTGAGCGGGCGCCTGCTGGAAGATGTGGGGCTGGGAAGCGCTGAACATCTTTTCAGCCAGTAAATGAACCTCTTTCTTCCCCTCTCTACTAATACTGTAAGTATTTCGCTTTGCTGGATGCTGCCTCTGAGCAGGCGCCTGCTGGAAGAGGTGGGGCTGGGAAAGCGCTGAACATCTTTTCAGCCAGTCAATGAACCTCCAAACCGACAGTTCCTTCCCCTCTCTACTAATACTGTAAGTATTGCCTTGCACTTCAAGTGGAGAACTCGAGGCACTGCAGGTGTGCCTTCTGTTTTTTTTCTTCCCCAGATCTCTTCCAAGTCAGACATTTTCTTCTGGGTTCTGTGTGGGTGTCTCAGGCGAGCTCTAGGGAGAGTCAAAAGTGTCAGTTGTCCTGATTTTAAGAATTACAATTTATCTTTTCTAAACCATAACACAAGTGAGAAACAGCACCATCTCTCCCAGACCATCTGACACTTTCGTAAAGATTTGGAGAAAGGAGGAGACACCCAGGAATATCGTTCTTGTTTTGTACATACTTCACACCTCTGTGCAAGCAACTGATTTTCCTAACTCCCACCCCCACGCCAACCCTGCAGCCAACTGCATAGCACAGCACAGAGAACGTGGGGATGGTTTATTGCTAGTGAAGACAAATCAAAGCTGGCTAGTAGTCCAGGCAATATATTCACACTGTTGTTTGCCCCATATTGGGCTAGATGGACCAGTAGTTTGTCCTTAGTCTGTGGGCGGCATATAAATTAAATAAATAATAAATATTACTCTTACTGCTGGTATCAGTGAACTTGGCTAGAATAATAACTGCAAGAATTTCTTGGGATGTTGTCTTGAATCAAATAATTACAAATTTCTCTGCTGTGAAGAAAGTTTGATGACACAGATATCTTCAGATTATTGTTTTTTACATGTGAAAACTAAAACACTTCACTGTAACAGAAACGACACACACCATTGCTGGCGATCATGCCAACAGCTTCATACTTACTTTCAAATTGAGATGGGTTTTGAATAATAAATTGAAATAAATGTGTATGGTACCAAAATCTTGAGAAAAGATGCACACTTAGGAAAATAAATAAATAAACAGCTTTCAGTGATGGTAAGGTGGCAATTAATTTTTCCCCATTCTCTGCTGTTGTAACTTTATCAGAATCTACAGAGCATTCCAAAATACAGTAGTGCAGCTCTCACTCTTTACAGTGGTGCCTCGCATAACGAGCGCACCGTTGAACGATGAATCCACATTGCGATGCGGATTTCCCCATCGCTAATGCGAGGGCATGCTCGCATTACGATGGGGGAACAGCTGTTCGGGGGTTCTAAAATGGCCGCAGGACACCCAAAATGGCCACCGGGACACCCAAAATGGCTGCCGGAACACCAAAAATGGCCACCGGGCCACCAAAAATGGCCACCGGAACTCCAAAAATGGCCGCCAGAACACCCAGAATGGCCGCTGGAACACCCAAAATGGCCGCTGGAACACCCTAAATGGCCGCTGGAACATGGGAAAACATCGGAGAATGGTGAGTTTTGGGCCCATTTGGAACGCATTAAACGAAGTTTAATGCATTCCAGTGGGTTTCCCCGTTCTGCTTTACGATGATTTCCCATAGTGAAGGTTAATCCAGAACGGATTAACCTCGCTATGCGGGGCACCACTGTATTAGCTAGAACTTTACATGGCCAAACTATATGTGTTAAACCCTGGAGACCTAGAAATTTATTCTGATGGAAAGCAGTGAAATAAAGTATTGCGATGCCATTTAGCTTGTTGGCTGCTTAGTTTAACTTTGCTCCTGAGTACAAGACAATTTGCACTGAGGGTTTTGGCCTTGTCCTTTGTCTTCTGAGAAGTTGTGTCTCTCTTGGTGCGTGTTCTTTAACAAGCTCATCATGCATGCTTAACTAATCTCTGTGGATCCAAGTGATGGACTTGCTGCATGGACACCACTTGTATTCTGCACTGCTGCTGAACTATTTTCTTGCCAGGAGCTGAGCAAAATGCTTATCCTTTGACGAGGGTCTTCAGAGTGCAAAAAAGTAAACATCCAAATATAGATTCCTCTCCCCCTTGCCTAACTTTCTTTTGTTTTTGTCTTTCTTTTCTCCCTCAGTTTGAAGGATGCCAATGACTTACCCATTCAGTGTGAGATTTCTCCTCTTGTCTCTTATGGGGGTGAAGTAAGTTATTCTCTATTTGCTCCCCACTATTAAAATTTCTAGTCATCTTGGCCTGTTGTTAGGGCAGTTTGTAGAGCTTACAATAAACAATGAATGCAATCCAATGGAACAATGAAGGTAGAAATGAGTGTTGAGTGTCTGTTCTGCTCAGTGTAACCAAAGGTGCTTGGACCCTAAAGAGTTGACATGACATTGCTATTCTACTTAATAGATTTGTGTACAGCCTACTTTAAAGAAGGCACCATCTATTTATGTGACATGCCAAACAATGGTATAATAGGATGATGTGGTAAAGAATTTTTTGATTCCATCTATGTTTCAGATACTTAGGAAGGTTGAGGAGAGGGACCATTTATTTGGCAGTATATGACATAGGCCTGTTCATGTACCAAATTACCCTAGGAATTATTACTAAGAGTACATTTGTAGCCTGGCAATTTATGCAAACTTGTATGCAAAATTGCTTCCTTGTTTTCTCATGAAGAGGTCTTTTCTTTTTCTTGGATTTATAAAAATTCATTTTAAGTTCCTTTGCTGATATCAGAATGTATATCAGCAAAGTGATATACATGAAAGTGATAAACATGAAAAGTGGCATTAAAATGTTCTTAAACAATCTAGGGGTGATTTCTTGGTGCCCCTGTTGCATTGCTACTTGTCAACAAGATTTTTGATCATAGTTTCACTCTTTGTGGTACCATATTAGAAGCTAATGTCTAGCCCACAAAGTTTTTACTAGCCTGTTTCTGCAGGCACTAGATAAGTAGAATACAGTACATTGCTTTGTAACATTTCTCTTGATGATTTGTGCCTTGCCACAAAAAAATAGGCAAGAGAGTTTAGAGCCCTGGTGTTTCATCAGTAGACCAGCTTTCCAACATCTGGAACCCCTGAAATATGTTGAATTATAATTCTTATTTTCTACATATATATAATTACGATTATATAATTGTGGTTGTGATTAGCATAATTGAGTTCATCTACCCACTTGTGGTGTATTGGATAAGAAAATTATTGATTTACTATTAAGTTAAAGCTTTCATAGAGTTGCCTCCATCTAAGTGCAAATGATTGTATACTAAGTGTTCCTAGTATCATTATCTCATTCATTCCCAGAGTAATCCTTGAAGGAAATGGTTAATATTGCAAGTTTATATGGGAGGGGCTGAAGTTCAGAATGATCTGCTCAAGGGTATGCAGTATGATAAAGCCTGTTCACACTGGTATATAGATATGGTATATAGATTACTGATAGCACAATTTGAATAAGAAAAAAAGACCTTGTGTGCATGTGTTTTTTCTTAGAACAGTCTATCCTCTTTAAGAGCTGTCCCACACTTTTATAAGACAGGGCTAGGGCATGCATTCTTTTTGTCACAGTTTGGAGTTCACCAGGTTCAGGGGAACAGCAGTGATGCAGGCCTGGGACAAGGAAGGAGACTGGAGCCCAGTGAGGCCAGCAAAGGCTCATCAGCAACCACTACCTTGGAGGAAAGTGCTTGAGCTGGCATCACCTCTGCCACTGCAGCTCAAGACAGCACCTTTTCCACCTGTTGCTGGATTCTGGAGTAGTGACAGGTAGCGATGGTGATCAGCTGGGAAGTGGATAAGAATAGCTGACAGGCCGCAAGCCTCTGCTACAAGCCTCCCTGGAGGGAGAACAAGTTTAAAGTGGCGGCAGCTGAATGCTGAATGAGAGGCAGCAAGCCTCTCTCACTGCAGCTGCCCTCATCAGTTGGCTGGGAGGCGGAGAGCAGCCGCATGATCAGCTGGGAAGTGGAGAGGAGTAGCAGAGAGGTAGTGAGCCTCTCAGACACCCCGGCCAACTTCCCAAGAGCCTGGAGGCTCAAGTGTGGGCAGAAGGATTGCCCAAAACTGTTAGAACAGATTGCATTCAAAATGAGGACAGGCTCTTACCGACTGAGCAGCAATTGGGCTTTATCAAGTAATGGTATGACGGCTGACTGCTGGGCGAGGGTTGGGAAGATTCTCCCTTCAGTTCTAAAAATCATTGGGTGATCTTGAGTTGGTCCTTGTCTCTGACACTAATCAGCCTCGTTAGGGACATAGAGCGGAAGACTGTATGTGTCACATTTTGGAAGAAAAGGTGGGACATTTTTTTAAAATCCAAATCTGCACACTGGATTGCACTTAGCACCAAACCTATTGTGAAACTTTTCTAAATATGTTTCTTTTTATTAGGGCTTGGAGGAGTTTGTGAAAGACAAAGAATTTCATGCCCCTTTGATTATTGACACAACTGGGATCCATGAGTTGGTAAAGAATGGAGTGTGAAATCCTCATGAAGAATCATCATTGGAATTTATTGTGGCTCTTTCTTGTCAGACTATAACTATTCAGACAAAGGCTTCAGGATCACTCAGTGGGTTTTCACTCCAATTAAGTTCCCTCAGAATCCAAGACTTGGCTGCAGTGAAAAGGGATGCGGTACTTTTTCCTCTCAGCATCTTGGGATTATCTATTTATATAATTTTTAATGTAAAAAAGGTAATAAATCAAAAATAGCAGAGATATTGCCGTTCATGCTGCAGTACTTCAGAACACCAGAATTTTGTATCAAAATAATCTGATATAACTGCAAAAGATCACAATGGTACAGAGATTGGAAGTCAATCTGAAATTCTGTTTTAAAATGTTATTTTATTTTCAGATGCTTGTTACTGAGTTTTTAAGAAAAAAATGTTCTTATTTTGTCAGCCAATATTATCTTATTAACAGTTGTATCTTGCAGAGGTTGCACAGTTGAAAGAATTGGGGGAAATGAAATTGGATTTAAAAAAGAATGTTTCTTAACATTCTTGGATGAATGCTTACATTAAAATATAATTGTTAGTCTTTAAGGTGCCACATATTTCTTAACACAGTATTTCCTCAGAGTTTTTGGACACTGGTACTCTTTTCCAAATTTGCTTTTTTATATGGCCGTCTGTCTCCTGCATCTCATTAGACAAGGTGTCCAGGTGGGTATGAAAGCCTGTTGCTACTTGCAAGGATCTAAAGACTTATCCTGTTACCATCACTTAAAAACCGGGGCTTACGTCTCACTGCTAAAATCATGTACAAGGATCATGCCACTCTATCTGAAATCTATTCTTACAGCTTTGCTTATGATGCTGTGTTGAAGGTGTTAAGAATCCCCTGGCCAGAAGCATTCAGTCTACCCACCCCTGGAATGATTTAGTGGGGAAAGAACTAGGCAAATGTTTGTTCTGCTGCCTGTATAAAATCTGGATAGAAGTGGCACTAGATTTCACCAAAGAAATCCAAATGTTATGCTAGTGAAATTTGAGATTTATGTGGAGCAATATTGTTCGCAACTGGAAAGAAGTGACAAGCTTGTTTCCTCAACTTTCATAAGACATGATTTTCAAAAGGCTATCAAAATTCTGATACAGTATTTCCCTAAATCTTGGCTTGCATTTTGGCCTGTCTACTAGTGTAATAAAAGAATTGAGAGTTTACCATGTGGTGTATTTAAATATTCTCAACTATTTACTTGGGTTTTGTTCAAAACCCAGCCATTTATGGTCTTCTTGATCCATAGGATCCCTTCCAGCTCTGCAGATGATGGTGGTGGTGATGATAATGATTTGCATTTCCAGGTTTAAATTACAAAAAAAGAGAGATGTGTGCCTTGGGTACTGATAATCTTGTGCTTCACGTTTTGGATATTTGTACATTTTTGCTTTGTTTTGTAGTAGGGATGGAATGAATACCTGCTTAATTTTGAATTTTCATTAATTTTTGCTGGCTCAACAGAATGAGACAACTTGGAAGAGCGAGACAGAGAAAGTTCTCTTCCCCCATCAATGTTTTTGCAGTTTATACAAAGTGCTTCAGGGCAGTCTGTGCACACTTAGTGCCCTTTCTCTTTAAAAAGAAAAGTGTACACGGTTGGTGGGTGGCTGCAGAGAGAGCACAGGGAGAGGACTAGATGATTTTGTGAAGAACCCTTCTCATGCTTTGGATTTTTAAAAGGTATGAAATGAGGTAGCAGCTGTTGCCATTCTGCATAATGTGCATATGTTGTGCAATTTCTGTTAAACCACAGAGTGAATAGGATAGATAGTTATTTTAATGGAAAGCAAAGATTCTTAGGCATCCAAGCTGTGTACAATTTTATTTAATAGAAGTTTATCATTGTACATGGCTGTTTTAGGGTGGCATATCAGAGACATGTTCCTGTTCTGTGGATTTGAAATCTAGATTTTGACGATACTGGGAAATGGAGAGGAAAAGATAATGTAAATAAAGAGATTAATATGAACAAGTGTTACAAAGATGTCATTTTTCAGGGGAATTACCTGTCTGGTCATATTCCAGATGTTTTGCACTACACATGCCACCATCCCCAACCTGCAGTCAGAATTTAAGATTTGTATGCACCTGGAAAATGATGAGCTGGGAAACACAAGCATCACATTTTGCTGTTGGCATTTTTAGAAGTCCTCTTTTTGCAACTGAGATTCTCAGTTGAATGATGGGTTACTCTTAACTATCATCAGTAACTGGACTAGAAGAGAGCCCACAAATTGTAAATGTCAATTTTTAATTCACCATTTTAAATTCCAGATATGCAGATGCACACAGATTTCTTGGAAGGGATAACAAACTTGAACAGACTGTGAAGTGACACCAATTGGTTGTTAATCAGCCATTTCTATCAGCTATCAAGTTATTTCTGACCTATTAGGCAACCCTAAAAATTTAAGACTCCCAAAGGGTCCTGTCAATTATAGTCCTCCTGAGGTTTTGCAAGTTAAAGGTGTGGAATTTTTTTTTTTAAATTTGAGTCTGTCCATCTCAGGTTCGGTCTTTCTGCTTCCTACTGCCACTTTTCTTAGCTTTATTATTGTCTTTTCCAGTGAGTTTTGTCTTTTCATACTGGCCATAATCTTAAAGGTTTTCATCACTTCCCATAGCTAATTGTGGTTAGATGCTGTGATGCCATGGAACATCTTGGTTGCATGCCTGGTCATTTACCTAATTGTATCACTAAAATGTGCCCTGGTACCTCATCAGTTGCCCACAGTTAGTCATAGCTAAATATTCAGGCTGTATGTAAACACCACTAGGCTTCTGGCTGTTAAGTGCAAAGTATTATAGCTTCTATTTAGTCATTTAAGCTTCTAGTGAGAGTTCAGGCTTTATTTGATATAGAACCTGCTTATGAGTCTTTCTGGTTGTTCATGGCAAAGCTCTCTGTTTCTCACAGATATTGTTCATCAGTAATAGCTGCTAACAAGAAAATACTTGGAGTATTTGAGCTGAGCTCAGAAGGGGGAGAGAGGCTATAAAAAAGACAAAGTCTTTATGGTCAGAAGTAGGTCCCTGAACTAAATGGGCTTACTCTCAGGCAAGAGGATAGTCTGGGAGTAAGCTACATCTGCCACAGTAGTACTGTACTTACTCCTGCATACCTGTGTAGAGGATTCTACTGTTGCAAAATTTTTCTAGATCCCTGAACTTCACAGATTTCTTTGCCTTCCCCCTTTTTTTCTGGCTAAGAAATCTTAACTCCAACAGATTGGATAAAAATGCTGGACTATTATATTATGGTGCAGGGGGGGTCTCCAAACATTTCGGTATGAGGACCACATCATATGTTTTACACATTGTTGAGGGCCAAAGGGGGAAAAACAGTTTTATAATGAATGAATAAGTTTTATTTGGATCAACAAACTTGTATACCACAGTATTAATGGGAATGATGGGACTGCTTGTTTAATTTCAAAATATTCCCGAACTGAGGTTTCAAGCTTGAAGAGCCAATTATTAGAATGGACTTAAGATGCTCATCAGATAAACTTGCTCAATAGTTGGACTTCACATACTTCATTCTTGAAAAGATTTCTTCAAACAGGTATATTGTACCAAAAACTGACACAAATCCGAAAGCAAATTGCTTTAAATTTGGAAACTGCTCAGGCTGCAAAGATTTGTAAAACTGGATCAGATTTCCTTTATACATGTGATTTATCCAGGATTGGTCACAGTGACGGGCCTCCCATTAGTATCTCCTATGAACAGTTTGTGGCCTTTTTAAAACATAAAATGGAGGCCATCCAGCGGGACCTAGATATCTCCTCTTTATCAGTAGATTGTGCCAAGATGTCCTGTGCATTGCCTTGCCCAGCAATCTTAACACAATTTCAGTCTATGATGTCAGTTGAGGTTGACAGGGTCCTTGATTGCTGTAGGACCACCACCACCACCTCATTAGACTCTTGCCCAGCCTGGCTCTTGAAAGTGGCCTTAGTTAGGCATCCTTCAGTCTCGAAAGACTATAGTAACGTGCTCTGTGTGGAGGACTTGGAGCTGCGTCTAGTGTGGCTGAGGAGGCCAATTCAAGAGTGACAATCCCTTCCACACTGAAGACAAATCCAATCTGTCCCCTGTCCAGCTCCCTGGTTTTGCTGCTTTTGTGGCTTCCTCTTTGCCTCAGCCTCCATCATCTCAGATGCATTGGTTCTCAAACATTATAGCCTGGGGGTATGCCATAGAATTTCTATCCCTTACGCCCACAGGTTATATCCAATGCACCATCCCTTCCCCGATCCTTCAAGCAGAAATTCACACACACCTGATGAAAAAAGCCATCTCAAGAGTGCCTCCCCATCGCATATTCACGGTCTTTCCCGGTACTTTATTGTGCCAAAAAAGGAATCTTGGATCTACATTCCAAAACAAATTAATTGCCCCAAAATGTTTCTGGATGGTGATGTTACAGTCCATTCACTCTCTCCTCTAACAGGGAGACTGGTTCGCATCCATAGATCTTCACAACATGTATTTCTATATTTCAGTTCAGCCACAGCAACATCGCTTCCTCGACTTCTTTTTCAACCATCAGACCTACCACTTCTGTTCACTTCCCTTCAGGCTCTCCACAGCCCTGAGGGTCTTCATAAAATGGGACCAGTTGCTGCTTTTCTCAGAACCTGTGATATCGCTGTCTTTCCCTACATCAATGGTTGGCTTCTGGTGGCACACGGCAGAGCTCCTCTGCATGCCAACATTGCATTGACCCTACACCTACTCTCAAGTCTCAGGATGCAAGTCAATGAGAGCAAGCCTCATCTTGTCCCATTTCAGACTATCCAATGCATAGGAGTTCTCCTAGATGCCAAAAGTGCCCGAGCTGTCATACTCAGACTATCCAATACATAGGAGTTCTAGATGCCAAAAGTGCCCGAGCTGTCATACCTCAACCATGAGTGGATACTATCATCTGCTCCACATGAAAACTGATTCATATTCAACACACCTCATTCTGTTCAACGAACATTGGGACTCATGGCCTCCACCATGGCCATGCTGCCCCACTCCTGACTGAGGGTGCGACTACTCTAATCTTTTTACCTTCTTGCCTACAACAGGCAAGACCCTCCAAACAAAAGACTTTCTTTCACCACATCTGAAGAGAGAACTTCTGTGGTAGAAAATAGATCATCATCTCCACCTCAGTGTCCCATTCCAACAACCACATGCCTCCAGTCTCACACTTACAGATGTGAGCACAATGGGATGGGATGCCCACTGTGGTCACAGGCAAGTCAGTCTCACACTTGCAGATGTGAGCACGATGGGATGCCCACTGTGGTCACAGGCAAGTCCAGGCTACATGGTCGAGACAAGAGAAGACACATCATATCAACGTCCTCAAGCTCCTAGCCATTTTCAAGGCCCTTCAGGTATTCAAGAACCTAATTCAAGGTCACAACGTTCAAATCACCACCAACACCGCCATGGCAATATATTACTTCGACAAGCAAGGAGGAACCAAATCCCTGAGCCACCAACACCACCATGGCAATATATTACTTCAACAAGCAAGAAGGAACCAAATCCCTGAGCCGCCTCTACCTCTCAGGCCGATTCTGGGAATGGTGCATCTCCCATCAGATTATGTCTCCATGTCTCCAGCATGGACTACACAACGGCAGGCCGCCTCAGCCGAACAATGACACACCATGGCAATATATTACTTCAACAAGCAAGAAGGAACCAAATCCCTGAGCCGCCTCTACCTCTCAGGCCGATTCTGGGAATGGTGCATCTCCCATCAGATTATGTCTCCATGTCTCCAGCATGGACTACACAACGGCAGGCCGCCTCAGCCGAACAATGACACAGCTCTGGGAATGATGCATCTCCCATCAAATTATCCCCGTGGTAACCCATGTCTCCAGCACGGACTACACAAGGGCAGGCCGCCTCAGCCGAACAATGACACACACACACAAGGATGGGAACTTTCTCAAATGATATACAGTACATCGAACTGGCCTCTCTCTGGCACAAACCTGCTGTGGATGTGTTTGCCACCACCATCAACCCCAAATGTGCCCACTACTGCTCCCAAGCAGGCAAGGGAACAAATTCCTTGGGAGATATTTTCACCATGATCCAAACGGGGGATCTCCTATACATGTTCCTCCCCCTTCCACTGATCCAGCACACAATTGTGAAAATCATACACAATCATTCAGATTCAATCCTCATCACCCTGTGGTGGCCACGACAACAGTGGTTCTCCACCCTTCTCCTTAATCAACAGATTCTGGCTGCCCCTGCACCATGACTTTCTCTCCCACACAAAGGCACAGTTCTCTACCTGGGTATCACTCACCTGAAATTCACTGCCTGGAGGATATCCCTCTCCTCACAAACATCCTGAAACAGGCTAGACACCTCTCCACTAACAGACTTTAGGGTTATATTGTGGAAGCATTTTCAGTGCTATGCAGCATCACGTAGCCTCTGAGATTCTCCTGCATCCCTAGTCACAGTTCTTACCTTCCTACTACACCTCAAACAACAAGGACTCTCCATCTCTCCAATATCAAAGTTTACCTCGCCGCTATAGTCACTCACCAGCCAAGAGACCATGCATCTACACAGTTCTTCAGACATCAAACTATTAAAATGTTTCTAAAGGGCCTTCATAACGCCTACCCGGATGTGGGACCTCCACAGGACCCCTGGTCCCCATCACTCATCTTTTCCCAGCTTACCAAGCATCCCTTTGAACCACTGGCAACAATGGATCTCTGCCTTCTGTCTCTAAAGGTTGCAATTAGTGGCCCTCACATGAGCATGTTGGGCTGCTGAGCTTATAGCTCTCAGATGTGACTTACCCTACATCAATTTTCCCCGCAACAAAGTCACTTTCTACATTAACATTACCTTCCTGTATAAGGTAGCACCCGATTTTCACATGTCTCTTTTTTTTACAACTTTTTATTTTTTAACTACAAGGGATAGGGTAGGGACTACAAAAGATAAAAGGAAATGGAAGGGGAGGAAAATAAATTCAGAGGATAGGAGAGCACAAAGTATACAATCATCCAATCTTTTCATATTTCAATAAGAAAATCAACTTTCTACTTTTTCCCATTTGATGGCCCTCCAGATATCAACTTATAATTATATTTAAATTTAACTCTATGTTACTCCAACACTATCAGGATATTGAGACCATTTATAAAATACATCCCGTCATTCAAGTTCCTTCTGCGTTAGACAATCTTCCAACACAACTACAAATACATCCATTTCTGTCACTTCCCATATTTTTTCGGAACTCTCCTTAGAAGAAAAACATAGATCCCAGACTCTAATCCAGTTTTTAACATAACCATTTCTGACTGTGGTGTCTGAATAGCGTACTGAGTTATTCTTCTTCCCATCTATTTTATCTGGTGTGGCTGTCAATACCAACAATTCTGGACTTAATACAGTTTTATTTAACTGCTGTTTAGTCTCTGGTAAATCCTCTTTCATCAGATCTTCCATCTGGCTGAGATGTTCATTTACCTGCTGGAATCCTGTTGTTATTATCTTTTGCATGTTAACCCTCCATTCTATGTCAGAATTTTGTTCCCCTATTCCCATATTTTGTGTTTTGGGCAGACAAGGTCCCCAACCGATTGTTGCCCCTTCATGGATTGTTGCCTTGTCGTGGCGAAGGGGCTTGAGTAACTCAGAGAAGCTATGGGCTATGCCGTGCAGGGACACCCAAGATGGACAGGTCATAGTGGAGAGTTCCGACTAAACGCAATCCACCTGGAGTAGGAAATGGCAATGCCACTCCAGTATCTTTGCCAAGAACACCCCATGATCAGAAACAAACAGCACACGCGAGGGATCAATCTCTTCAATAGAATCCTTATAATCTGTCCAGCTCCAGTCCTGATTTTATTAGCTCCTGGTTTTCACATGTCTCAACCTACTTTCTATCGTCTCTGCAGAACAACCTGGAACGATTCCTCAACTTCTTGGATGTCCAATGAGCACTGGCGTTCTACCTAGACAGAATGAAAGAATCTAGACAAACGACCCAACTTTTCATCTCCTACCAAGGCCCCCAAAAGGGGCAACCTACTTCTTCCCAAGGCTTCTCCAAGAGAATCTCCCTATGCATTGCCTTGGCCTATGAACTTGTGAACAAGCCCCCACCTCAGGCTTTTTGCAGCCACTCTGCCAGGGGAATCTCCTCCTCTGCTTGCCTTTATGCGAGGTGTAGACATCCAGGAGATCTGCTGGGCAGCCACAGGTCCCAGCCCTTGACTTTTGTCACACTGCAGACTAGATCTCAGGGCTCAAAAAGATTCTGCTTTTGGTAGGGCTGTCCTATCCTCTGTTCTGGCGTAACTCCCACCTCCAAATTCTGGCTTGCTAATCACCCTTCTGTGTGCATACATGGAGACCACAACAAATAAGATTTGGTTACTTATGTAATTATGGTTCTTCTAGTGGTGATCCATGTATCCACACCCACCTCCCCTCTTGTTTCACCCTTCCAAATTTTTCTAGCAGTGGACATTTGGGACTGAGGAGAGTGGGGCTGTGCATTAGCTGTATAGGCAGAGAGGCACTTTCATTTTTGAAGCTCTGGAACTTTCCGAAGTGGGGTCTGTGCAGGCACAGAATCCCTCTGTGTGGATACATTGATCACCACTGGAAGAACCATAGTTGCGTAAGTAACCAAATCTTTTCAGCCCAATGGATGAACAGTATGTCTGGAGGGAGAAGAATAAAGCATACAGTGAAAAGAACTCTCTGCCTACAGTTAAGTATGAAGGTGGCTCAGTCATGCTCTGGGGCTGCTTTGCATCCTCTGACACTGGAAACCTGCAGTGTGTGGAAGGCAAGACGGATTCATTGAAGTATCAGGAAATTCTAGGAGAAAATGTCATACCATCTGTGAGGAAGCTGGGTGTCATTGGACCTTCCCACAGGACAGTCATCCTAAGCATTCCTCAAATTCCATCAAGGCTTGATTGCAGAAGAAGTCCTGGAAGATTCTACAGTGGCCATCACAGTCACCTGACTTGAACCCCTTAGAAAATCTCTGATAGGGTATGAAGAAGACGGTTGCAACACGCAAACCCAAGAATATTACTGAACTGGAGGTCACTGGTCATGAGGAATGGGCTAAAATTCCCCAGCAACACTGCCAGAAGCAGGTGTCTGGCTATGCATCTCGTTTGCAGCAGGACATAACAGCAAAAGGGTGCTCTGCTAAGTACTAAAGATGATTGTCATGAGGGCACTAAATAATTTTGACACTGCAAAATTAATTAAAAGTTTAATTTTCAGTTGAATTTGGAGAAACCACTTGAAGCATTTGTTGTGTTGAGCTATTTCGGTTGCTTTTGTTTGATTTCTTCATTGCAAAATCTGAAAATGTTGACAATACACCTGACTTGCAATGGAAAGGTGAATAATTTTGATTGCAACTGTAGCTCTGCCTGTGCAACTAGAATAACATCACTGGCCACAGCAGATTGCTGCTAATCAAAAAGTTCCATCATCTATTTCATGGTGCCCATGGCTCATCAACATCTGTACACCCATACTGGGAAAAATAATTTTAATTAGCATCATTCAGGGATGCCAATATCCTGTTGTTTAGCTCCGCCTGTGAAATGCAAATTAAGTGAGGTGTGCTTTGAAGTTGAAAAAAGGATTTAATTAGCATTTGCCATGGGGAGTAACATCATTCCTATTGTGCAGATAGAGTTGCACAACAGGATCTTGGCTAGTGTTTCTTGACACTGGGAAGCTGAAGTCTATGGTGCTGGAATGATAGCAATGTATGTGCCACGTGAGCCTCTCTGCCGAGGACATTCTACAGGTGGGGAGCCGCCACCACCAAAGAACTCTTTTTCCTCTTATTCAGGTATGTTCTTGTAAGATGAAAATTTCATGTTCAAAAATTAACAAAAATATACTCTTTGTCACATTCTGAATATCTTGTTTAGCATTTCTGACCAAATACTGGACCTGCAAGAACCTTTTCTATAAACATTTAACATCAACATTCTTGGACTTGGCATCAATAATATCAAAGGAGATGGGTGAGATGTCCCCACATTTACATCAACCCTTTTGAAAAACCATGGGGGAAAGCGACCGAGCCAGATGCTACCGGTGTTTGTGTTCCAAACAGCATACTGCTTGCCAATAAATCATTCAGATCCTTTCTCCCGGTCTGTTCGCAAGCACTCCTCAAAATAGTGAAACCAAATTAAAATTTCTTATCTAAGTGGAACAATAATAAAACGGGTGTATTTTTAAAAAAACTTTTAAAAAGAGGACACACAAATTCTTGGAGCCTCTTTGCTGTGTCTCTTCCCCCGCCCCCAGCCCCTCCTGCCTAGCGCGGAATGGGTTTTGATTGAAATTATAGTTTAGCCTGTGTTCCCTTGAGTGAGGGAAAATAGCCTCCAAAGAGAAGCTAGCTCCAATTGGTGACTCTCTTCCCCTTTCCCGTCCCCTAATTGAAACCAAATGTGAAATATGCTGGAATTGTGGGACTTCTGGCTAGGTCCCAAGAATCCTCAGAATGCTAAATCGCTTGCAAAAGCATCTTGCATCAGCCTGCCGAAGTTTATTTCCAGCCTGGCTTCTCCATCTAGGGCGAAAAAGTGGAATCTGTCCGTTTTCCATTAACATTGTGGATTAAACTTGAAAACTCCTGCTGCCTTCCCTTCAGAATTCATCTTACCATCCAGGTATGGATGTTTTGATGCTTTTCAAAAACATTAACTTCAACATTTCATACTCTTGTTTCATAAGACGGAAAGCCTTCTCCTGGACAAAGGCTAGCTTGGTTTAGGATGTTGTAACAGGGCAAACTAAGGGAACAAAGGAATAGGAGAAAATTATGCATTTTTCTAGCAAGCTTACTTTATGAGAAAAAATTATATCGTTCTTTTAAAAATGTTGTTTGCATGGCAGGCCAGGCTGGTTGATTACAGATGCCAATGATAGTTCTGGCATCTGAGAGGTATATCTAAAGAGAGGATGTTGAAGTTAGGAAAAGACCTTGAGATTGAAGGGGTTTTTCTTTCTTTCTTTCTTTCTTTCTTTCTTTCTTTCTTTCTTTCTTTCTTTCTTTCTTTCTTTCTTTCTTTCTTTCTTTCTTTCTTTCTTTCTTTCTTTCATCTGTGGCTAAATTGGTCTGAAAAGCTGTTGACTGAAGAACCAAATACTGTTGCTTGTGTGAAGATACTTTTATGGGGAAAGTTATAAGATTTGAAGCCTCCCCTTTTTCATCGCTGTGTGTGTGTGCCTCGTGACACCCCTGTGTTTCATTGTTGTTTCCATTATTGCTGGTGGTGTCTGAAAGGCCTTCTGGCAAGGTAGTCAATCCAGTCTCACAAGACCCCCAGTTCCAGATGATTTGCAACAGAACCTGTACTATTTCTTTCCCCCAGAAAATTTAGGCCCATCTTGAAAAAAAAACCAAAGGAGGAAGAGCAAAGGGAAAATATTACTTTCAAAATTCCCAGGTAGCTTTTCATCAAGAATCTCTTGATTGGAGCTCTAACTTGAAAAGGAATAAAGAAGAAACAAAAACAGAAACTGTTACTCTTTTGTCAGCAGACCAGAGGAAAGTGTGTGACATGCTTAGGCTTATTCAAAATCAAAAATAGTACTGGCTTGGGTGATATCTTCAAAAATGAAAAATCAAAAATTAAACAATTGAAAAATTGCAAGCTCCTTTATAACTATTGTAGTGTGCATAGGATATTTTAACAGAAATGCTTGTATTGCTCTCTTTTTCTTCCATATACGATGCTCTGTCTTCCCATTAGACTGTAGGTGAAGCAGGATTAAAAAAGTGTGTCTGATTCTCCACTATGCTGTAAAGGCATGATGACCCATTAACTGAGCGAAGATCTGATACTGCCGTAGACAGAAACACTTGTGAGCAACTTCCTTCTGGAGTTAAGGAAAACAATAATGTAACTTATAGCATCATTCATGGCTACCAGCAATATTGTAATCCATGTGAGTTGACATGAATGTCTTTAAAGTCCTTAAATAGTTAAGAGTCCAGCTGCAATATAGAACAATTGTTCAGTTTCTGTTACTGAATTATATAACATGTTGATTGAACTTTTCAAGTATTTCAGCCAATATTCAGTCCTTTTTATCTCCTTAGAGAAAATAAAGTTACCCAGGAATCTACTCTCCTGTTCTCAGAAAGAAGGACATTTTACGGACCCAGTGTCCAAATTAAAGTCAAGTGCTTTAGACCTGACTTTCTTCCTCACCGCCATTCACAATATAACAATCTACCAATATTACTTTTCAGATCACACTGGCACATTCATATCCATGTGATAATGCTCTTCACATGCTTCCCCCATCCTCAGTGTACATCTAGGTTTATTTAGACATATGACAAAGTGTTGAAAATATGCAAGTGACCAACAATTTTTCTTCACACACGTTATTCAGGCACAGTTTCCCAAGAAGCAGCCCTTGATTCTCATTCCTTATGAAGTGTGCATTTGATGGTAAATTCATGTTTGCAGCTGTGTAGTTAGTGAAAAATTATAGGCATGAAAAATAGGAGACATGAAAAGCAATATGAGCAGGATAACATACTTTCTAGTCATGTCACTACAAAGTGTGCATTGTTTGAAATAATTTCCCTAATTTTTCTCCCTCATAATTTGAGAACTTGTCTCTTAATATAATTGATGTAGAACAGATTCAGGGTAAAGTAAGAAAACCAACACCCAACCACAATCGAGCCATAGAATATGATTCAACAAGATGTATGGCAATAGGTAGTGGAGATCTTAGATGCCTTTGAGAGTTAAACAACCTAATGATTGATGGGTCTATCAACAGCCATTTTCTGCAAAAGCTGAATGAAAATGTCAGATGCTGTAGCTCTCACTGACAGTTTGCTGGGGGAGGTCTTTCTGTGGACTTCCCAGACCCATTCACCTGCATGATCGCAGCATTTGGTGACTCTTGAACTAGATGTACTTTTGGTCCAGAGGGTCCCTTCCAGCTCTGCAGTTCTCAGATGATGACAAGGAATATTATTATTATTATTACCCATCAGGGCTGCTAAAGTGAGCCATGTGGGCTGCAATACTGTAGGTATGTGCTCAGGGAATTGTTATATTCAGCACAAATGCTGGGAGCTGTCGGGGGGAGGGGGCATGGATGACCAGTAGTTGTGTTCTTTTGGAAAAAGCACCATTTTATGTCCTCATCATATACAGCAGTGTTGTTTTTATGTGCCATCAAATCGCTTCCTAAACAGCTCAGCTCAGCTCTTGTAGACTCAAGCCTTTAGGCAGTCAATCCATCTCATATTTGGTCTTCTTTTTTATCTTTCCCAGCATTATTGTCTTTTTCAAAGAATCCTGCCTTCTAATGATGTGCCTAGAGTAGAACAGCTTCAGCTTCGATGTTTTTGCCTCCAGAGATAGTTCAGGCTTGATTCAGTCTAGAACCCACTTGTTTGTCTTTCTGGCAGTCCAGGGTGTCTGCAAAGCTCTCCTCCAGCACCATATTTCTCCAGCACCGGCAGTTAAGATCTAGCCAGGGGGCCCTTTGAAAGAGCCGTCCCTCAAGGAGGTAAGAGGGACGGCTTGTAGACACAGGGCCTTCTCGGCAGCTGCCCCCAGACTATGGAATGCCCTCCCGACTGAGATTCGTCTGGCACCGACGCTGATGACATTTCAGCACCAGGTCAAAACCTTCCTGTTCCAGAAGGCTTTTAATTGAAATTATAACAACTGTGAGTCCTGATGACAATTTTGGGAATATATATTTTAATTGTATCTTAATGGTTTTATTTTTTTTACTGTATTTTAATTGTTGTAAGCCCCCAGAGATCTTTGGGTAGTGTGGGTGGCATATAAGTTAAATAAATAATTAAATATTTCAAACAAAGCATTTTTTCCTGTCAGCTTTCTTAACTGACCAGCTTTCACACCCATACATAGTGATAGTAAATACAAGAGTGTAGATTATCTTCTTCTTGGTCTCCAGTGACACATCCTTATACTTGATGATCTTTTCTGATTCCTTCATTGCTGCCCTTCCTAAGTAAAATGCAACTTTAAGAAAATTGTGTGTTTTAAAATTTTTGGTTTATATGGATGGTGGTTAATTAAACTAAAAACTAGAGACGTTCGTGGGGAGAAACTTGACTAAAGAGATCTACTGAACCCTGAGGAACAAAATCCCATGTGACTTTGGGCAGCAGCGATATTTCTGTGTCATTTGGAGGCCCCAGAAAATGGATACTGGTTGGGCTGAGGTATAGAAAAGTGAATGTGACAGTAGTCTTTCCAGTTCTGAGATATAGAAGATGAGAGAAAACTACCACATTATAGCCAAAATCCTGTTGCTTAGCTCTAGCGTAGGCCGATTGAATCAGTGAAGATTTGGTGAGTCAACTTCTTTTTATGTTCCATTGATTCAACATTGAATTAATAGAAGTTAAATGATTTTTTGGACAATTTGTTGGAAAACATGGATTAGGAAAATGATATGGAGAAAGAATTACATACTTCTGTGAAGCAGAACTTATAATTATTGGCATCACATTCAAATTATTGCCAAGTTGATTATACATACAGAAATCTGCACAGGATTTTTAAGTGCTGACAAAAATATTGTTAGATACAATTGACAACACATTGAGATAAATGTAAGAAAGAAAGGGATGTTAGAAGAGATATTACAGCTAATGGAGGAGAAGCTGCCAGGTAGGTGGGACTCGTTCGGTCCTGGAAGGAAACCCATCTAAGAGAAGGAAAACTCTGATTTCAAACCTCCACTGCCTTGTCGCTATATCCACTGATGGAAAAGGCTTCAGGAGTTAACCTCGAGGCAAAATCCGGAGCCAGAGTCCCGGAGGCAGTTCCTGTCATTCTGTCAACTCCTGCGATGTCGCTGAAACTAGTTGTATTGGCTCTTGCCTTTCTATTGGACTATTTCAATGATGTGGAGAGGGGGGATTTGCTGGTTGGGTAACAGCCTATCCTCCACATTATTTTACCCAGGCTTCGTGCCCTGGAGAGGACACTCCAGCTTCACGTACAGCGTCAAAACACTAGATGCTGTTCCAAGTCCTCCATATAGAGCACATTGCCATAGTCTCTCAAGACTGAAGAATGCCTATGGAGGACAAGCAAAAGGAGAAAAATAAAGCAATGTCAAACACAGACAATTACCCAATAATATCCAAAAGAAAATTAGGGAAGCCAAGAAAATGATGTGGCCTGGATAATGTACCAAAATAGAGACCCAAGAGAAGATCCAGCACTCTCTTTGTAAAGTTGTCAATGGCAATGCTAACTATTTCTGGGTAGCAAAAAGTCTCTGATACTTGACAAGAAGATCCAGCACTCTTTTTGTAAAGTTGTTGGCTATATTTTTAAAAATGGCAATGCTAACTATTGCTGGGTAGCAAAAAGTCTCTGATACTTGACATCAAATGTAAAATCAGCATGTGGTGTGAGTAAATAAGAGAGCTACATGATGGTAGAGTTTATTATACCTCCTGTTGATACTGCACTGGTAATACGTAAATGTGAAATGCAATTTAGCTAATAAAAATGACAAAATTCTTGAACCTGATTATGATTTTGCAGAAACATTAAAAGTAGCAGCAGAGGATGGCTCAGATGTTTTAGTGAATCTTTTCAGTCAGATTTACAAACCAGAAATCATTCAGGTTGGCTGAAATGAA